CAGGGCTTTTATGAAAAATGGCTGATTCTAGGACTGGGGAAGAAAACTACAGGATGAGCTTGGAACATCTTGTTGTCCAGAGAGGAAGGAGGTGCCCAAACAATAATGAAGACAGGTCAAAACACATGTACTTACCTTGAAATGCTACCGCTGGCCAAATCAGGGGAAATTAAGCACCAAAATAATAAGCTTTCTCTTTTCCCTCACTTGTTTGTTTGTTTGGTGTTAAGCATTTATCAATATAGAAGGAATGAAATAATAAGAATATCATTTGGCAAACAACATAATAACAGATTTATGCAAGGATAATCAATGGATGCTAAATCTAGTGTGTGAAAATTCGATGAGTAACAAAATATTCACAGACACTCAGAGTACCTCCACACAAGGTATTTGTGACACACAGAGGTAAATAGGACCTTTACTGTGGACTAACCTGGCAGACACTTTGTAACCACATGATGACAGTCAACACTGGCAGCAATGGAGCCGAGCATGTGCCTGCAAATTTGCTGCATGGGAACAAGTCAGCATTCCTGACATTCCTGCCCACATGGCATAACATGAGCTACATGAAGAAACCTCAGACAGACCTAAGCAGAAAGTCTACAAATAACTGGCCTCTACTCTGCAAACTGTAAATGTCATTCATGAAAAGCAAAGGAAGTCTACAGAACTGTCCCAGATTAAAAGAGACTAAAGAAACAGGACATTGGGCATAACACATCATCCTGAATTTACTTGGACTATAAAGGATATTATTGAGATAATAGAAAATATCTGAGTAAGATCCAAGATTAAATATTAATACTGACCCAATTTTAATTCATTGATTTTGATCATTATACTACAACTAGAGGCCCAGTGCACAAAAATTTGTGCACTCGGGAGGGTCCCTTAGCCTGGCCTGTGCCCTCTCACAGTCTGGGACCCCTCGGGGGATGACCACCTGCTGGCTTAGGCCTGCTCCCTGGGGGATTGGGCCTAAGCTGGTAGTCAGACATCCCTCTGGCAGCCCGGGAGCCCTCGGGGGATGTCCACTTGCCAGTGGGGAGCAGGCCTAGCTGCAGTCAGACAACTTTAGCGCTGCTGAGGAGGCGGGAGAGGCTCCCACCACCACCACAGTACTGGCAGCTGTCAGCCTGGCTTGTGGCTGAGCAGAGCTCTCCCTGTGGAAGCACACTGACCACACTGACCAGGGGAAAGCTCCTGCATTGAGCATCTGCCCCCTGGTGGTCAGTGTGTGTCATAATTATCAGTGATTCCCAGTTGCTCTGCTGTTAGGGTCAATTTGCATATTACCCTTTTATTATATAGGATAGAGGACTGGTGCATGGGTGGAGGCTGGCTGGTTTGCCCTGAAGGGTGTCCCGGATCAGGGTGGGGGTCCCGCTGGGGTGCCTGGCCAGCCTGGGTGAGGGGCTGATGCTTTACGCCACCCCTTCAGGGTGGGGGGTCCTGCTGTGGTGTCTGGCCAGTCTGGGTGAGGGGCTGATGGCTATTTGCAGGCTGGCCACAGCCCCTTCAGGGTAGGGGTCCCCGTTGGGGTGTCTGGCCAGTCTGGGTGAGGGGCTGATGGATGTTTGCAGGCTGGCCACAACCCCTTCAGGGTGGGGGTCCCCACTGGGGTGCCTGGCCAGCCTGGGTAAGTGGCTGAGGGCCATTTTCAGGCTGGTCACAGCCCCTCAGGGTGGGGGGTCCTGCTGCGGTGCCTGGCCAGTCTGGGTGAGGGGCTGATGGCTATTTGCAGGCTGGCCAAGGCCCCTAGTGGGGACCCTCACCCCATGAGGTTGTGGCCATCTTGGGTGAGGGGCTGATGGCCGTTTGCAGGCTGGCCACAGCCCCCAGCCACCCAAACTCCCAGTGGAGGCTGGCTGGAAGCAGGTATCTGGGATTTATTTAACTTCTATAATTGAAACTTTGTTGCCTTTTGCAGAGGCCACAGTCGGTCAGAGCAGGCTTCCTCCATCTCCGGGGAAACCAAGCCTCCTGCTTGCTCCAGCTCTGTGGCTGCCAGCCACAATCTTGGTTAGGTTAATTTGCATATAGTTCGCTCTGACTGGCTGGAGGGCGTGGCATGGGCATAGCAGAGGTGAGGTCAATTTGCATGGTTCTCTCTTATTAGATTAGATAAGTATTTATTTTAAACTATAATAGTTTTTAAAATTTTTATACAGCACTACTAATAAGATACCAAATGCACTTTTGGGCGTCTCTGGTTCTTTTGCTTTAATTAGCATCTTTGTCTTTTATTAGTGTCGATTATGTAAGATAATTCTATTTTCTTAGAAAATGCACACTAAAGTATTTAGGAGTAAAGAGGTATCATGTCTGCAACTTACAAATGGTTCATATATTATATCTAACAAACCTACATTTATATTTATTTAGGTAATAGACAAGAAGGGAGAAAGGATAAAGTAAATGTAGTAAAATGTTAACCTTCCGGGAATGGTTTGCAGGAATTCTTTGTACTATTCTTGTAACTCTTTTATAAGACTGAAACTTCTAATACAGAGTATTTCTAAAAGAAAAGTTCTAAAAATAATTTTAACAAACTATAACCCATTATATGAAATAAACCACGAATTCATATTGATAAATGAATAAATTAAAAGTTTAATGAAGAAGAGATATTTACACTGGCTCCATAAAACTTCCCTATAAAGCAATAATTGTGAAGTGAAAAAAGAAACATTACAGTGGAGAAACTCAGTAGATACTGCCTTCACTGATCAATATTAACATCACAAAGAATGATAAATCAAAACTGTAGGTCACATCACAGGATGCAATGAGAAGAGTATAGGACTACTTCTGTGATGCTCTTGCTAAAAATGTCTGATCTAAATCCTACATAATAAAAGCCTAATATGCTAAGTGTCCAGTCATCTGTTCAACCAATCAAAGTGTAATATGCTATGCTAAGGCCACTCAACCACTTGTTATGACATGCACTGACCACCAGGGGGCAGACACTTGACCCAGTAGATTAGCTTGCTGCTTGAATCTGGCTGATGAAGACTGGCTGGACATGTCCTGGAGCTCTTCCGTGGTCCCTCCCTGGCTGGCCAACCTCCCGTGTGCCCCCCTTGCAATCCAGGACCACTCAGGGGATGTTGGAGAGCTGGTTTCAGCCCAATCCTGCAGGCCAGTCCGAGGGACCCCACTGGTACACAAATTCATGCACCGGGCCTCTAGTATTATCATAAGGAAACATCAGAAAAATCCATGATCTGAAATTGAAGGACGTTCAACATACATTAGTTGAACTTCCTCTTCAAAGGATTCAATGTCATGAAAGTCAAGGAAAGACTAAGGCCCTGTTCCAGCCTGAAGGAGAAGAATAGACACTACAGCTCAATGGAACCTATGGATCTGAACAGGGTCTTCATGCTATACAGACAAGTGGCAAAATTTGAAAAGGATGCGAGGATGAAACTATAGAATGTATTAGTGTGAATTTCCTGATTGTGAAGGTGGTATGATAGGCAAATGGAATGTACTAAAGCATGGTGGCACAGTGTCAACAATTTACTCTCAAATAGTTCAGGGCAACAGAGTTCTTTGAACTAAAACTTGGAACTTTCTGTAATTTTAAGACTCTTTCTAAAAATTCATTCAATAAATGGAAAAGTAGAAAAGCCTTAGGCAAACTTTATTTCCCCCACAAGGAAAAAATTTTAAATCTGTGTTTAAAATTG